CCCCCACCCCCACCCCCACCACCATCACCTCCCTCTGTGCTCTCCCTCTTCCCTCTCTGCCTTCCTAGTGTGCATAGCTTGCGAGTGTGCGTGTTTGTAGAGTTAGTGTGTGTACTTGTGCGTGCCTACCGTGTGTGTGTGTGTGTACGAGAAGGACCAACTTTAACACATGAGTTGAACAAATGATATCAAACGTTAACATTGAGAAGTCACCTGTTTTTGAGTTGGGATAGGATTCTTTAAGAAGACCGTCACTCCTGTAGCTGTGGACTTTCTTGCTGGTTTGAAAGGAAATACACTGTTGCCAGTTATTTTTTTTAAATTATTGTTAATATTGCCTTTAAGGTTTATATTTTTTATGATTTTGGGAATATCGGTTGTCTTACGTGACTAGAGCAACAGCAAATTATTTCGTTTAGCTTCCCTCTTCATAAATAGATCGGTATATCAGAAATCCATTGATCTGTACAGAGCTTGAATTTTATGCAACTTTCTTTTTTTTAATGGCTTCGTCAATTGTTTTGACCAGCGTGGCTTCGATATACCGCCTTCATTTACTTTCTCATGTTTACCATTGTGTCTTCAGTATAAACTCCAAACTCTTTCAGAGAGGACGAGCTCCATGTGGCGGACGGGGAAAGGTTTGGGAGTGAACGTTTGAATGCTCTGCTTAAACAAAAAAATCTGAAAACAAAAGCCGCATGTCCTGTGACCAAGCATGAACTGTATGTGGTTTCTCATTCCTAATTTAATTGTGATTGTGCCCCCCCCCCATGTTAGAGTATACATTAACCTCATGGATGTGTTTTTTTACAATGATTTGAAAACAAGCCAGTTTTTCTGCACTGGGCAGAGCACAGCTACCTCAATATGATGAAAGATATTTTTTTGCTCCTCTCTACATAGTTTCCTAAACGGTCTTGCTAAAGCGTAACATCTGAGGTGTGCCACTATTTACTTGTGCAGAAAACGAGAACATTTTCCTTCCCTCTTAACATTTTAAAGGATATATTTTGTTTGTATTGATTTTTGACTTTCATTAACTTTATTTGTGTTTTGCTTCGGAGACGGAACTGAGTGGGGATGATGTACGTTAATTAGCATCTCCACGGCGTTTGATTCAAAGGACCGTAATATGAAAATCCTAAGAAAACAAACAAAATACTAATGCAGAACCTACTCCAAATGCACTCGGATTGCAAATACGAGCCCAAAATGTTGTTTTTTACTTCAAGGAAAAATACCCATAAACCCTTTGAATCAAAGTGTTTTCTGTCTTTATTTAATATGATTGAGGCCAATGGCTATCAGCATTACTCAAATCTAATGTCTCCTTTTTGTATGTGCATATAATACTTGAATACAAATCATTTCAGACACGTGAATGCTTCAGTGTACTTGGCACAACATGACGGACCGGAGATATTCACAGCACAGATCTTGTGTATATTTGACTCTTACAGGCTTTAATAGTTGGTCTTAGTTTGTGCTGGACTCGCCACACTCTGTGGCAGCGTGTACATGATGCAGTCAGCTGCACTAATCTTACACCACTTAGAGTTAAGTGTTTTTGTGTGTGTGAATTTCCACCAGTGAGAAATCTAAAGCATGTTTTTTGGGTAGAAGCCTGGGCTTGTTCGCACGGTTTGTGTTCCACTTAACAACTGTGTGCTTTTCTTCCTCAATGCCTTCCATTGGCTCCCCTGTCACTAGAGTGAGTATCCATTTGCTTTGTTCACACTCTACTAAATACCAAATCACCTCATTAGAATCTAATGAAACTCTACAGAGAAACATTCCACCATTAAATAGAGAAGTATTTTAGGAAATGTTCTCCGATAATTTGAAGACATCAAAGTCACTGAAAGGACTTCTAAAATGTAATTATTCCCATTTAAGGAAGTGATGTGTTGCTGATCCACACATAAAGTGATTAGGCGTTGATGTTGACCACGTTCGCTATTGTGAATGTCACTGTGTGCTGTTCTTTTCACCGCTCTGACACTTGCCTATAATCCAAAAAAACAATACCTACTCTTGATAGTGTGGTAGAAAGATGTGTAACTGTAAACTGCTTTCATAGTGTTTTGTACTAAATGTTTTTCCCTCTCCCTCTTTAGGTTGGCTCTCATAAAAGCTTTCCTGATTTTAAAGAGTGGGCTCAGAGGCTGGAGCTGTCTGCTGTCCAGCATGTGTGCTCACTCTTAACTTCAGACACCGTGATGACCAGCAGTGTGTGGACCCTTGCACAGACAAGAAAAAAAAAAAAAAAAAAGGACATGTTTTCACAGTAATACGACCAAATACACAAGGGTATACTTAAAAGTGGTTTGGGCTGGAAATACACTTCCCCATGCACCACAACACACACACACGCTTCTTAACACACTTATACCTCTGTGTGCAGATGCTATATCAATACGACACTATTCCAGTTTTGTGTGCGGGGACGTTTTCAACACCCGCAATGTTCTTTCTTGCATGAAGATCTTGTTTCCAACCTCCATGGTAGCTTAGAGAATCTTTCATCTTTAACAACTGGGTTGAATGGTCTTAGCTGTGCATCAGTGTACAAAACATTCATGCATGCGTTCCAGCTGTATGTAGGCTTTGCAATTTGTATTTATAGTCTAATGTATAATACTCAAATGACATATTAAGATGGATATATCATAGATATGTAAATCACTGTTTTTATTGTAACCGTTTGAGGAATTTGCACAAAATTAGACTTGGAGAGATGACTCATGCTGAATTTGACTGTGCTCTTGAGTTTTTTTTTGTAATGTTTAATTTTTCCCCTTTGACAACTACTGTAGGCCGATCACTGATCCATTTACTTTCTAATGAAGTCGTCTGCAATGAGGACAACAGACACTTTGATTCATTGGTAAACCTGCAATACAACATTGTTGTCTTATTGCCTCTGCGTTATTATTATTATTATCATGTATCTTTATCAACTGCTGTAAAACTGTGATCTAATGTGAGGGGGCCCCATGCCGGGCCCCTCAGCGACACCTGATCGAAGAACAATTAACACATGTAAAAAGATGATCATTATTGATGACTAATAATGGTTGTACATGCATTACTGAGGTTGTGGTTTCAGGTAAATAAAACATAGTATTTGAATTGTGTCCTTTTTGCGTTCTTGCACAGTCAATGTGTTCCACATTTTTACACAATTAGTCTTTTATACGATCAAAACACCAATGCCACTGTTTTAACAGCTTAGGAAAGTTCTACACTGAGCACTTTAAAGATGTGTGTGTATATATTGTTTTCAAAGTGGGGAACCAGGCGTCATCATAGAGACGCCGCTGATTGAAAACTAGTAAAAGAAATGTACGGACACTATATGATATTACCCCACAGGGTGGCAGCGTTGTGTTGAAGATATCAACAGCACTCTGCGTGTTCTGTAACACCTGCATGACAGGTACAGGCACCAGCTTTTAATAGGAGCCCAGAAGGAGTAGGCTAATATCCTGAAATTATTATTATCAATAAATATCAAGAACAGCTGTTGAAGAGGAATATTGGGAGAAGTGGGAGCTTACTGGTTCCTAAATAAAATGGAAGGATATGTAAAAACATGTAGCTGCCTGAGTGTGAGACACAAACCAGCAATCATGCAGTAAAATAAAGAAATGAAAAATAAGTGTACACCGTTAGATTTCATATCCAGATATGCATCTGGACTCATATCGAGGTGAAGGGTTTGACCGCGTCCCTGCTCTGTCTCTTTAACCAGCACACTCACTGTCACTGGTCCCTCCCATTCCTGCAGCCCTCCAGTGCTGCTGGCCTGAGATGGGAGCGCGCACAGCGGCACCATCACGGCCGAAGAAACGGGATAAACCTGGAAAAGAAACGGAACAAAACAACAGTACCGCATAGGTACGGTGGAGGGGGGGAAACAATGAGGTTAACGAAACAATTGATTCACTTAAACCGGATCGCACCGCTTGATCGCGTTCTCTGAGAAACTCCGATGTTGCCGTCGCTTGTGTTTTGCGCTTTTTATCCTTTCTCCTTGCGCGCTGCTGATACAAAGGCGCTCGGTCTGGAGCAGCAGCAGCAGCAGCAGCTGGGATTACTGCCATATGAATGGAGAAGAGTGAACGGACCTGCTAACACGGGCAAACACGGAATGGTATACACAGACAGTGAGTAAACCGACCAGGATTAAAACACTTTTTAATTTTTTTTTTGTCTCTCCATTGGAGCTAGATCCCCGTGTCACCCCGCGAGGGAGGATAGATGCTGTCATTGTGTCAAGGCTGAGATTTGGAGAAAAAGAAAAAAATCTTTTGAAAGTGTCCCTTTCTGGAATAATGCATGAGAAAGACGAGCTGCATGAGATTGCCGCTTTTTATTCCTTTCCAGGCCTCACACATTCCCGGCTATCCTTCTGCCTGAACAGCCGGTTTCTCTGGTTCAGAATGGGATGTATTGTCGCATCTGCGCAGCCCACGACAAGTGTCACCAATCACACTGTGTGTTTCTGAACGGGTTACCTGAAGGCCTGAAACACTGTCACTGCTCTCTGACCGCAGGGGGCCATTGTTGTCGATAAGGACTCTAAAAAGGACAAAACGGTGCGCCCTTGGCTTCATTCACCCAGTGTGTGTGTGTGAGCCAGGGTCAGTCACAGAAATAAAGTAGGCACAATATGGTGGAGCCGGTGGGATTTACCGAGGCGTGGAAAGCACAATTCCCAGAGTCTGAACCCCCCAAAATGGAGCTGCGATCCGTCGGGGGCATCGAGCAGGAGCTGGAGAAGTGCAAAGCCTCCATCAGGCGCCTGGAGCAGGAGGTGAACAAGGAGCGCTTCCGCATGATCTACCTGCAGACCCTCCTGGCCAAGGAGAGGAAGAGCTATGACAAGCAGCGGTGGGGCTTCAGGCGGACGCCGCTGAACGAAGGGATGGACCCTGCGGCCATACAGGGTGCGGAGTGCCAGTCCCAGCAGCCGCACATGCAGGAGACCGGTGGAGTTGGAGTAGGAGTCGTCGGTGGAGGGTATGGTGGCGGCAGTATGGAGAGGAGCCGTTACCAGCCTCTTGGAGATGGAGCTGGAAGGTCCAAACCCAGGCCTCCACCGGCCAGGAAGTCGGCCTCCCACGGAGACGGACTGGAGTCGGCCTTCGAGGTGCCGCAGCAGGCTGAGTCGATGTCTTGCGACAACCTCGATGGCCTCTCGCCGTCCAAGCAGAGAGGCGGCATCTCGGCCTCCCCCCGCAGACTCAACCTTCCGCCCCCAGACAAGGAACTGCCCATTGACCCCAAGGACAAGCTGGGAATGGGACTTGGCGTGGCGGCCCTTAGGTCCAACTTTGAGAGGATCAAACGGGCCAACTCTCACTCTGCGGGGGATGTAGCAAAGGGCCAGGAGAAGCAGCAGCAGCTGCCGCCGCCTCCGCCACCATTCTACTCTAACATGGAATTCCACCACGAGAGGGGTCTGATCCGGGTCAACGACCGTGAAGTTTCTGACAAGATCAGCACCCTGGGCAGCCAGGCCATGCAGATGGAGCGAAAGAGATCTCTTCACTCCCTCCCAGGTAACCTTGCAACGGTGGCAGGGGAGCTCCGCGCCAAGCCAGTGTACAGAGGCCGGTCCACTGAGAGCACCTGCGGCTATGATGCAGAATATGAAGACGGGGAACCCAACCAGCGGCACGCAGGGAGGGCCAATGGTGGCAAGCCTCCGCCCCCTCCTTGGCAGCCCTCCGAGTTCCAGGCCTACTCCAGTGTCTACGTTGGTGGGGTGATGATGGGTGAAGGTGGCGGTGGAGATGGGAGAGGCGGTGGGGGAAGTGGTAGTGGAGTCACAATGAGAGACCTCGGGGGAGGTGATGACCACCTCCTGACCTGGCCACGCCGGTCCTACTCCCCGGGGAGCTTTGAGGATGTCGGCGGAGGCGGCGGCTACACGCCGGACTGCAGCTCCAACGAGAACCTGACGTCTAGCGAGGAGGACTTCTCCTCGGGACAGTCCAGCCACGTCTCGCCCAGTCCCACCACGGCCTTCCGCCGGCCCTTCAGAGAGAAGAGCCGCTCGCCGTCCCAGAACTCCCAGAACTCCCAGCACTCCTTCGACAGCAGCAGCCCTCCGACGCCGCAGTCCCAGAAGCGTCAGCACCGGCAGCAGGGAGGCCACGTGGTCATGTCTGAAGCCACTATTGTGAGCGTTCGCAAGACCGGTCAAATCTGGCCACCTGGTGCCCATCATGAGCTCGTGCCGCATGGTAGAACATCCCATGACAACAGTTTCCATGGAGACCACCTAGGTGAGTGGTGGCTGCCGTCTCTAATCTTTGTTGTGATGGAAAGCAGGTGGGCTGGACCCCAGAGAGAAACTGAGTACGTCTGGTTGTGTGTGGAGGAACGACAGATGAATGAGTGTACTTTAGTCATGTTTTGGCGTCTTTTCTTCTGCCTTTTTTAGCCTCTTCTTCACGTAATGCGACTTTCCTCCTCAAACCACAAAGCAGCCGGATGATGACGTGATTGATAGTATGTGCGTGATTGTGAGCGCGGCACACACACACTCAGGGCTGTGTGCTCTTTGGATGGCCTTGCGTGGGAGACGGATGAAAGATCCACCTCTGCTCATTCCTGGAATGTCAGTCGGGTGGGTTCACAATAAACGCGGTCAGTCTGGGTTGAAACTGTAGGTCTAGCCTTTCTCAGACGACTCCTGCGGCTCCGAGTATGAAATTTCATTCACAGGTGTCTGTCTGTCTGTCTGTCTGCCTGTCTCTCTCTCTCTCTCTTCCTGAAATGTGACAGAGTAGAAGACGATTCCCTGAGCCTCCAAGCTGAAACTCTTCACCCGCTTTTATCACAGAGCAGGACAAAAGAAATCCACTCCCCAAACAATTATGTGCCGGATCCCTAACCACTTAGTCGTAGCCTTTGAGCATATGGCAGCTGCAATAAAAAACAGCAGCTAGCAGATAGATGTGCAGCCTGGAGCTAACTTGGCAGTTCAAGCCCAACAATAGTGGACTTGTGTCGCTCAAAGAAGCACATTAGTAGGACTTACTTTACTGTGATTCCACAGTAAAGTTTCAATTGCAAACCAAACACTGCTCGGGTAGTTCAAATATTTGACATGATTTGTAGTCATTGAGTGTTGTTGAACCGAGGTGCGGTTAGCTGCAGTTGTGCACAATTTGCTTGTTGTCTGTGTTTTAGCGCCCACAATATTGTAACAGATTTGGGACCGCTGGACCAGACTGGCAGCGAGGTGCAGGCATCACACGCTCGCTCCAGTGCCGGGACAGTTCAGAGGAGAAGAGTTTGTCAGATAGAGAATGAAAGAGAATGAGGAACACCGAAAGATAAAGCGAGGGGGAAAGTGTGCAGGCAGAAAAGATCCGATGCAGAGTCCCAGAGATGCCAACTGTACAATAAAGTTATAGCTCATTAAAGTTATGTGAAGGCTTAATACCATTATCTTGCTCTTGTGCTATAAGATTCAGCACTAAAGATGTTGCTGTCATCTCTCTGGATAGCATTACGGTCTGAAACCCGATGCTGCTCATTGCCCAAATATCCTGAACAGAGAACGGGTCCCTGTGCATCTATAATTCATTTATTTGAATAGAGCCACCGACACAGTGGTCCTGGTGGAATCAACTCAAATGTTTTTTTTCCAGGCAGGATGCAATCACCAAACTTCAGATGAACCACCTCAGACACATTTGCAGTGAAAGTGAAAGACATCTTTCCTTTTAATTACCACTCCCCGATGACAAGTAATAGGCAAACAGCATTGACAATTAGGTACAATGCTAACGTTCGTCGCTCTAACAGCCAATCCGGATTGTGCACCGTGAGGAGATAGTGAGTCCACAGCAAATGGCAGGCTAATTCCCCAGCTGCTATGTTTAGGATTATCGCAGCACTCGTCTGCTCTCTTTTGTTTTAACATCTTTTCCACAACAGCGAGCCCTGTGGGGAGTTTGGCGAGCCGGAAGAGCAGGGACGGAGATGGAGGGTGTAGGATATTGGGGGGGGGGGGGGCATTTAGTGGGATAATCTGGAATTTGAGCATCAGAAGTAAAGATGTTGGTTAGACACCCCCGCTGAGTGGTTTTGTTTTCTAGTTGGAGGTTTAAGCTGAGGGCAGACGAGCACGATGTTGACAGCGGAGGGGATGATAACGATGAATATTGCATCATTTTGGGCCCCCGGCGGTGTGTGGTTTTTAGAACAGACCGGAACAGAGAGAGGATAGTAATCGAAGAAGAGTGTGTTTTTAGTGGGCGGCTGATGGTAATAACGAAGAGTGGGACGGTGTTGCGAGGAAGACTTGAGGGAGGCAGAGTGCAAGGCAGAGCTGTCGTTTCTCGCTTCATTGGTCAGGGATGCGGGGGCTGCAGAGAGGCACAGATGGGAAGAACTCTCCCGTTGTGTAACACACAGACTGTCGGGCTCACTCACAAAGACACACACACACACACGCGCTCGATGTTTACTCGTATACCTTGAGGCGAATTTGCCTTCAGCGATAGGTGTGTTGTTCAGACCGGGTTGAAAGGGGGGACGGATGCTTCCTGCCAGTGGTTGACTCGAATCTGGAGATGCCGCCGTCTCTCTGTGGAGGAGGCGCACCATGTGCCAGAGCTGTTCTGATGCAGCGATTAGTTCTCTCCTCTTTTATTTTTTTTCTCTGCATGCTAACAGCAGAAGTAATTGCCTCATGGGGTGTTTCGTTTATTTAATGTTGGAGGGGGGCTTTAAGGATGAAAAGTGTACATGCTGAGCAGAGACGAGCAGGTCTTTGTGGCTACGACAGAAAAGACTAAATGAGTGAAAGATTAAAATAGAGATATCTCCCTCGAGTGTCATTCAGTGGAGAAAGCAGAAACGCTTGGCAAGTTAAAGCTCGTGAAAAAGAAATGGCAAAACATGTTTGGAGGCACAACTGCCAACTTTTCCCTTTTGGAAACTGAGCAGAACAAACACGAGCGCGGCAATGTTACGTCATGCCAAGGTAGACGACTGACGAGGCTCTTTCTCGTTGCCATGACTCAGTACTTCACCTCTTGCTGCAAGTAAACCTCTGCGGAAAAGAAAGGAAAGAAAAACCAACAGCACAATCCAATCCCAATGTTTCTCACACACACAGGACTGCAGTTAAAGGTGGGACAAATATCAGATTTGTGGAGAGGTGGATTAAGATCAAAACCAAAACCTCACACGTATTACCAGCTGACAGCTTTAGTGAGGTCAGTTCATTGAAGAAAAGGAGCTTTCACTACCTTCAGTAATGGAACGGGTGGTGTCCAAAATGTCTTCATAGGCTGTCTCCATTGATTCATTTGAAGGCAAATATGCCTCTTAACCAGTGAATACCTGTGGGTTTGTGTCTCTGAGGGCGGGGATGCTAAAAGCAGGACAGACCTGAAAAAGCCTCAATGGGTGTATTGTCCACAACCTCCACCTCCCTCAGCTGGGTCCTGCCAGAGGCCGTATTTTAAGACAGGCACGACCCCCCCCCACCCCCCCCTGCTCTCTCTCTCTTCAATCTCTCTGGTCTCAGGGTCACCTATCACTTCATTTTACTTGACTTTATTACATTTCACACAAAAATAACAACATTCCTCAAATTACAAAACATGTCGCTAATACCATTTGGCTAAATGACCTCAAAGGCCAAACTAGGTTAGCTTAATCTGATATTTCCAACTAATTCTGGAACAGATTCCTCCAAATAGGAATACATAAATAAAAGAAAATACATTTACCAAGTAACGGTAAGGAGCTGTTGATACAATGATTACAGGTGACTTAAAAAGTCGTCCACATTTTAGCATGTGTTGGTGTTGAAAAGGACATATCCTAGGATATCAGCGTTGAGCGTGTTGCTTGCGTGCGTGTGATTTGTCTCAACAACAAGCCGGCGATCAGTGATCGAATTATGACAGGAAACGATGGACACGGCTCATGAGACACTGAGAGAGATATTTTCCGTGGCACCTTCGGCCAAGCTCGCATGCTTTACAGTAGTCTGGCGTGGCACAGTGACCCCCTTTTCACTCTGAGAGGGGGGGGGGGGACTGTAGCTCTTAAAAATGCTTATTCAGTATGTGCTGTTGAGAGAGCTTGGCAGTAAAAAGACTCGGTGACCTCAGCGGGCACACAGGAGCTGCAGGCCTACAGTCAGGCCCTGAGTGTTAGGAAGGAGAGGAGAGAAGCACGGGAGGAGAAGAAGAGGTGGAGGAAGGGAGGGGTGAAGCGGATCTGCCTTTCTTGCCAGATGGGTGCCCCCCTCAGCCTTTCATTGGACTGTTGCAACTTGCTCGGACCAAGTATGCCGGCACAAAGCGGCCCCTTTGTTTCCTTTTTGGTGGGATCAGTTATGGAGGAAGAAAACTTGCTTTCTGAGAAAAAGTAAAAAAAAAAAAAAAAAAAAAAAAAAAGCCTGTGAACTCATTCAAGATTTGAGCTAGTTGTCTGTAATACTGCTTATGCGCTGCAGTGTTTAACCACATGCAAAACACAAGATGTAAACTATATCCTATAAAGTATAAAGCAGTCATGTCTGGTGGGGTCTCATGCCGTGTTGCTGCAGCAGAAGTCCATCTTGACACGTCGCTCCGTTGGCAGTGGGAGGCAGGAGGGTGGAGCAGCTCCAGCTGCTACCCAGTGAGAGTCAAACTGCCTGGCTTGGTTTGTGGGGCTGGACCCAGCCAGCTTCAGCCCTACACTCAAACGCAGACCTCAGTGTGTGTGTGGGTGTGTGTGTGTGTTTGATGTAGTGTGTGAGGATGGTGGGGGTGTTTTCTTTGTCCACTGTCCATTCGTTTGGAGGGAGGGATTTTCGGACATTCAAGCTAAACTTTGTTTGTAGTGAAGCTACAGGCTGATCATAACTGGACTCTGCAGAAAGACACATAAACACAAACTCACAGCCCTCCAAAGACTAATTGCTCTTCCCTGCTTTGGCTTATTTCTTCTCCTTTTTTGTGTGCGCTTGTATACTTCCTATGCCAAGCAACCAGCCACAATCTTTCCCTCTGGTGACCAACAGCTCTTGTAAAAAAAAAAAAAAAAAAAAAGAAGGAAGAAAAAAAAACTTGGAAGATCCCTTACATAAATTCCGGTGACTCTTTTCTCCCCATGTGTAGCTGCTTGCCCCCTTTTGAGCATCGGCCATCTTGGCTCTCTGTAACATGGCCCACGTTGTCTCAGTCACTCAGTCACTGAGCTTTTCATCTGGATTGGCCACAGCGCAGGGAAACTGCGCTAGTTAGCGTCCGCCGCTAACCACTCACCA